CCGAATGCCCTCTTGCCCTCTTCCGCACCTGCGAACCACACCAAGAGCAGGGATTGCAGGGTGTTGGTGGCAGGAAGCGACCAAACAGGACAGCTGGTCTGGTTACTCCTCGAAAGTGAAGGACGACAGTGTGGGACAAGAGCAGCCACCTGGCAAGGGACCAGTCTCACGGGTATCAGGGCCTCCAACCCTCAGCGCATCCAGCAGCTGTAACAACGTAAAGACATGGGAAAAACGAAGTTCAGGTCCCAGCGGGGTCCCCGCCCAAGTGTCCTTCCTCCAGGTCCCCTTTCACTGTCACAACACCTTCCAACCCTGCAGACTGTATGGTGGGAGACTGAGAATGGGGCTTATTCCGGAGGGGAAGTCCAGTAACTGCTGGCAGGGCCGGGTCCCCTTCCCATTCAGCGGGCACGCGCGTTCTGGCCGGTGACCTGAAGGGTCCGGCACCTCTGCCCCTCCCTGATCAACACGCGGAGGGATCGCCCGGGTGGGAGCTGAAGCCAACACAAGAGATTGACGCTGGACAATCAAAGCCTGCAGGAAGAAAACCAGGGCCCACGGGGTACAGGGCGCGGGGGTCCCCAGAGACGGGTCCTCTATTCTGTTTTCCTCTGCCCCGTCCTTCTCGCCACTCACCGCGCGCCCGTGCTCACCAGTCCCAGCGTAGCGTCCTCGCCGATGTTGGGGAGTCCCGCCAGGGTCACACGGAGCCAGCCCTGGAGCAACCGAGATGCAGAAAGCTCAACGGCCCGAGCTGCCCAGAGAAGACGAGGGGTCTGAGCCCCTCGCCCGGGTGGCGTCTCCGCCCCGCCTCCCACTTCTCAGACAGCGCGGCTCGGAGCACCTTCCTACCTCGGCCTCCCCAGGGGCACTCGGGCTGCCGCGGGCTGCGTGGACGCAGCGGGGTTGCTCGGTTCTGCCTCGGGACCGGCCGGCACTGGCGGAGGCGCAGAGCTGCTGCGCGCTCCTCCTTTCCTGCTCGCCCGGCTCCTCCCGCCGGAGTTGGCGCCCCGCCCCCGCAGCGCCCCACGCCTCGGACCCGCGCCGAGCGCTCTGCCTCGCACTCTACTCCGCCTCGCGCTCTACTCTGCACCCTCACGGAGCTGGAAAGGCGATGCTCAGAGCGCGGGGGAGGAGGGGCAGCTCCAGCCTCCGGCACTGCCCTCGAAGGGGACTTCAGGAACCGGCTGACTGAGCGCAGCCCTCGGTGCCCTGTTTTCTGCAGGTGTCTGCGCCCTGTACAAGCAGGGGTGCAACTCATCTTCTGGGAAAGGTGCAGGGACGCTCCGAAAGGCAAAGTGGGTTTATGGGACGGTGATGAGAGGCTTCTCGGGAGGAAGCTGGGAATGGAGGACTTGCCTTGTCCAGAGATCCAACCCTGAGATCGTCACACAAAGGCAGCCCGCGAGGACTACCACCTTCAGATGGCTGGGTGATCTTGACGCAGTCCAGCCCGGCCTCAATCTGTTTTGGGACCCCCGGGAGCGGGGCCTCCACTGTGCTTACCGCAGGCTCTGTGTTAGGTGACCTTCAGGACCTCCCTGCTCCTTAGATGAAACTCAAGAACCGCAAAACCAAAGTTTTGGTAGCTGGGGAGCTCTGGGCGTGGAACTGTGGCAGGAGACTGGAGCCCTCATACTCCCTGTTACGCACAGGATGGAATCTGGACTCCACTTTGTCAGTGTTCCTGTTTTTCAAGAGAATCTGGCATTTAAGAACTTTTTGAATTACACCGGGGCTAGTCAAAGCCTAACAAACACAGTCCGCTGGACTGCCAATTTAAAATTCCCAGAGAGGTGACCTGAAACCTTTGGGTGTGACAGCCTCTGGATCTGCCCTTCCCACTCTGCGGGGCTGACCCCACTGCTTCTGCCAGCCAGAATCTCCCTAGCAGGGTCTGCCGCAGGAAGCCCAGCAATGCCTTCCCTAGAGGCAGGCGTGGGTGGCTGGTGCTGAGGAAGGGACAGCCTCCTAGGATGTGGGGAGGACCATGTGGTCTGGTGGGCAGGGAGGGCAGACTGGTGTGTGGCCCACATTCACTGGTGTCAGCTAAAGGTTTCACCCAGCCTGTAGCACACTCATCATTTATGGAGCAAATACACCACTGCGGTCCTCTGACTCTGTTGCCTCCCTGGAGTCCTCATAGACATAGCAGGGCTGCTGTCAAGCACTGGACACCTGTCTTAGTCACTTTCCAATACCCAATGCAGGCAATGTGAGGGGAGATTTATTTTGACTTGCATTTTAGATTCCAGTCCTGATGGTCAGGGGTATGGAGGTAGGGTCCCAGTAGGAGAGCTGCTCAGCCAGTGGCAGACAGGCTTAAAGAGAAGGGAGATGAAAACCTAGGGTCACAATCCCAGCAAACTGTCTCTTCTGACCAGCCCCCCTCCTAGCACCAAAACAGCTGCAGCTGTGTCCCCCAAATTCAACCCTCAGGCTGGCCTCTGGTGTTCTAGGCTTTGGGAGGACGTTTACCCGTAAACCACAGAAACACATCTTAAAACCCTGAGGGTGACTACCATCAGCTTAGTAGGAGCTTTGCCTGGGGTGGACAAGCAGTCCCCAGGGACAGTGGTTAAGTGGAGAATAAGGCAACAAAATGCCCCAGGGAGCTGTCTTGGTTCAGGTTTCCCACGCGGACCCCCAGGCAGTTGGTTGGAACATGCTGAGGTGTAAAGATGGCTGTCTAGGAAGAGGAGGAGCCATACACTGTGCTTGTGATGGAAGCGGTCGCTGTGGGCAGTGGGAGAACATAGCTCACGAAATCCACGGTGACATACAGAGGCTGAGACATTCAGCATAGGTTCCTGGCCTCCTCCATCCATGGTTTCCTGCAGGACAGTGAGTGCCCTTACTCTGGAGTGTTTCCAGCTGGTGGACAGAGCTCCAGGCTGGGAAGCACAGAACCTTGAGATGTGATCCGGGGTTTCCAGTACCAGGAACTGCACCTGCAGGGAGCTGGGGTGGGCAGAGAGGACACGGGGCAGGCCATCAGCATCACAGTGGCTGTAGGAGGGGCAGAAGGGCAGTGCCCAGAACAAGTAGCATGGACACTGGAGTGCCTTGCAGTTGAACTGAGGCTGAACCCAGAGGGAGGCATTTGGAGGGAATGAAGACTTTATTGTATATAGTTGAAGACAAATTTCTTTCCTTTTGCTTTTGGGCTTTTGAGACAGGGTGCCTGCCCCTCTGTAGATCAGGCTGGCCTTGAGCTCACTTTGCAGCCTAGGCTGGCCTTGAACTTATGGGGATCCTCCTGCCTCAGCTTCTGGAGTGCCAGGGTTACAGGCCTTGCTTTATGTCCCCACTTTGGCTGAGAACCCTGGCAAGAATCAGGGAAGTGAGATACCTATGTCAGACAGGATGAAAATTATTAATGGACTCCTGGCCAGTCAAGGTGATTTCTCTAACTGACAGCTCCAAGTCTCTTCTCTCTGGAGCCTCTGGGTGGGTTGGCAGGGGTGGAATTGCAACCTGAAATGCTGGGCAAGGGCCTGAGGTCCAGGGAGGGGCACCTGGGTGTGAGGGCTGGGATTGGAAGGGCAAAAGAGACTTTAATCTGGGATCAGGAGATGTTTGAATCCACTTGAGAAATATAAATAATAATAATTTAGCAGGTGTGATGTTTTGGAAATGTTAAATCTGAGTCATTTTACCCCATCCCCACATTAGTCAGTTTTCTGCCAGTACTTTCGGAACAAAGGTGACTTACTTAGCTCTCAGGATTGGAAGTTCAAGGACACAGTACCGGAAGGCCTGGTGAGGCCTTCCAGGTGAACATCACCATGATGGAGCAGGAAAGCTTGTGAAAAGAAGCAAGGTCCCAGAACAGCCTCATTGATCCCTTTCAAGAGCACTGCCCCAGTGACTCCCACCACTCATAGGCCCCGCCTATAAAGGTCCCGCCAACTCTTCACAGCAACCTCGTTGGACATAAAGAGCTCTCTCAGAGGGCTAGCAAGCCAAGTCACTCCAACACACCATATGTGAACATTTTCCTTTCAATAAAAAGCTGTTGTAACATTGGAAGCTCTTTACTGTGTTTTTAAGACAAAAGATATTAACTTATGAATTAATTTATTTCTGAACTAAAACCTCAGTATTCAGCTTTAATTGCAGTGTTGGCATTTTGAAATAAATAAGTGGGTTTTGGGTTACAGTTTGGGCACTCAATCTCTAAAAGATTTGCCTTCGCTGCCAGAGAGGATCAAGATTTTAAAACGTGAAACCCTGGCGGAACCCACACCCAAACTTTAGCAGCCTGCAAATCATACTCCCTGAGACTCACTCCACCATCCTTCATCCAGGGAATTAGGGAAGACTGATTCCATTTCAGAGCAACATCTCTCAGGGCTTTGGTACTTCAAGTATTGGGAGGACGATTTTGTAACCATTGGGTCAGCCTGACATTGACGTGTTCAGCTACTTGGAGAACTTCTCCGCCTACTCAGGGTATTTGTTAATGGATGCAGAAGAAGGAGAGAGAGCTCAGAAGGTAAAATAGGTTTTCAAATGTCTTGTAAATAGTTTTTGGCATTTGAGTTGTGCTTTCTGAAAGTGATTCTTTTTTGGGGACAGAGTCACATGGGCCTCCAGGTTCAGAAGGGTTATTGTTACGGTTGAAATATGAGTGTTCCCAGAAACTCTTGCATTAAGGGCTTCATAATGCAGCACCGCCCCAGCCAGGTGTGGTGGCACACACTTGTAATCCTGCGGAGGGGGTGGCTGAGGCAGGAGGTTCACCAGGAGTTTGAGCCCAGCCTGAGTTATGTGGTAAGACCCTGTCTCAACCCCTTCCCCAAAAACAAAAACACCCAAACACAAAACAAGAGTGTTCAGAGGCAGGGCCTGGAAGGTGATTTGGTCCCTTAGTGTGTTGACTTCATCGGTGGGTAATTTATTGATGAGCTCACAGCTGAAAGGGCTGTGAGGAAGTGGGCTGACTCGGGGAAGTGCATTCATGGGGAAGCCTCTTTGAAGGCTGTATCTTGTCCCTGTCTGTCCCCTTTATACCTCCCCCTTTCCCTGCTTCCCTCTTTATATCTACCCCACCCCTGCCCCTTGTCTGGCATGAAATGAACCTCTTTCCTTTTTTTTTCATAGTTTTATTGAGAAACAAATAGAAATGAGACAGTTTCAAATCAAATTGGTAGGACAGTTTCAATAATTAACACATTGCATACATTCTTCCTAGTGGTTAATTGCTGTACAAGATGCGGACATGAGATCCTATTTACAAACACCATTAGAACAAATCCCTCTATTCATTAAGAGAATGCAACTATATATTTATCCTAACCACTTTAGTTTTTTTTCACATTGAAATTAAGTTTATTTATTTTTTTCATAATTTTATTGAGAAACAAATAGCAATGAGAGAGTTTCAAATCAAATTGAAGGGACAGTTTCAATAATTAACACGTTGCATAGTGGTTAATTGCTCTAAGGAAAGCAGGACCTCGAGGACTAACTAATCAAGAGAGGGAAAGGAGAAGAGCTAGGAAACATGACAATGTCAAGCTATCCAGTTATATGTACAAGATGGGAAATGAACCTCTTTCTCTAGCACCTTCTCCTCACCATGATGTTCTGCTTCTCCAGGGCATAAATGATGGGGCCAGGTGACCATGGCCTGATCCTTTTAGAACTGTGGGTCATAACAAACCTATTTTAAGTTGTTTTTATTAAGTATTTTATCAGAGCAACATACAGATGACTAATATAGCTATATAAGTAAACTGTTAAAAATTATAAAAATGGATACAGACTCTCTGGAGCATGAGTCCCATCAGTACATACAAAAAGCCTTGTCAAGTTATATCCTTTAATCTAGAAATCCTATTTTATGACCTTATAGAGATAATGAAGCAGGTAAATAGTTCATTATAGAGATATTGACAGCAAATTGTGATAACAAGGAATTGGAGATAACAAAAATTTCCTGCAACTTGATTAAAC